TAAAGTTGTCTTAAAGTAAAGCTTCAGGCAAGCAACAGCTTAACAGCCCTTGTTGAAATTGAACCTTTGGAAACTCAAAGATGTTTCCCCCTTGCCTTCCATCCAATCGGAAATCACTCATTATCCTATGTATATTAGTAACTCTGGGCTTGAGGCCAATTCCTTATGTCAGTCACTCATGAAATTACAGTATAACCTACTCCTGAACCAGTACAGTGAAATGAAAATTTCAAACCAGGCGACAGTGTATTTCCCCCCATAAATTCTCATCAAACCAATATAATTTTATATATTTCTATCTTTTCTCATTAGAGAAATACTTCAACTCCTACATGCTATATTTCTTCCACTTCTACAATATTTAACAGGTAAGTAGTACCTTTATCTTACGCATACTCATGGTGCTTTCAATATTAAATGTTCTCTTCCACATTCTCAAAAGAATATGATAAGCATGGCATAGAGAGGAGAATGTTATTTAATTATTCATATAGTACTAAGTATTTCCCAAATGATTTTTATGATTATTAAGAAACACTTCAAAAGGAAATGCAGTTTTCACTTTAAAAAGGAATTATGTTTAACTTTTTACATTAGTCTTTATATGATGTAGTTAAGTCCTTTGTGATAAAACTTCGATAGTCTTTTTGAGATAGTGCTACCCAGATTTATTTGGTAGAATATGTTAAACAGACTTTAATATTAGTTAATTGGAAAAGGGATAAATTTTGAATTAGAGAAAGGCTTATTCCTTTATTTAAACAATTTATAAGGCTTCCCATCTACCAAAAGCGGGAAGTGTATAAAGGTTAAAATCACCACCATTAACAGTTAACAAAAACCAAATCCCAGACAAAACAAAAACAATCTAACTCATAAAGAATATATAACCATATTCAACAGCAAAGCTCTCCTAATTACCCAGCCCAAATGTTTGGGGCAACAAGTTCTTTAATGCCTTACAGAAGGCTAAGAGGTTCAAGATAAATATCAGAGGATGCTGTTCCATAGGGAAGGTGGCTGCCACAGATAAGACATGATTTGAGAATCCAACAAGACGACATTGTTTGGTCCCATATTAGGTCCCCAACGTTTCCGGCTTTGCAGACTGGTGGGGGGGGAGGGATGGTTTTGCGCGAGAAGGCAAGTCTATGTGCTTTGTTTGAGTGGTGTACACACCACCTGTCGCACACTTAAATGGAGTGTGCGCACATGTTCACCAGCTGCTTCCACGGCCCGGTTGTAAATCCCTCATGGCCCACTAGTGGGCCGTGGTCCAAAAGTTGGGGACCCCTAGTTTAACGGAATGAACCCAGAATATACCTTACTTGCTAGATCTGATGGGATGAGCAGAGACAATGGGAAATAAGTGGTCTCACAAAGAGCCTGGCCCCAAGCCATGTAGAGCTTTAAAGGTAACAACCAGCACTTTGAATGGTACTTGGAAGCCAACTGGGAGCCAGTGCAGCTCACAGCAGTGGTATTATATGGACTATCAAGAAACACCAAAAATAGGATTGAGCTGAAGCTTCTCTCCCATCTAACCTCTTCCACTTCCCCAGCCTCCAGGCATTGGGAAAGAACCTCAATGGCATCAACTGTTGGTCCAGGCAGAGATGTATAACTGAGTATCATCAGCATACACCATGCCAAAAGATAACCTCACCCAGCAGCTTAATGTGGATATTAAATAACAGCAGGGAGAACAGACCCCTGTGGCATCCTACAAGGCAGGACCTGAAGTTCAATCTCCCCTCGTTAACCCTGACTGAAACCAGACCCAGAGGAAGGAGGAGAACCAACTTAATATCATGCCCCCCCTCCTAATCCCCTAAATTGGCCCCAAAAGATGCAGCAATAAATGGTATCAAAGGCCACAGAGGGATCAAGGAGGATTATATTGTGAATTTGGGCTGCAGCTGAACTTCACAATACTTATTTTGATCTTGTGCTAAAATGCAGATAGCTGAGTATCAAACCTTTTCTTTAATGCAGACATGTGTCTCAATCTCATACTAAAGAAAGTATATCTTTTTCCCTTCAATGGGGTTTGATCCCATATTAGATTTCTTCAAGACTTATATATTCTATTAATTACTGTGTTATATAAGCTATCTGCTGAGTGGCAAGAAACAAATATTGGGGAGAAACAGAATTCATGAGATGAGATGTATGAATACTGAGAAAAAATCCTCGGCGTTAATAGGTGATGATGGATAGGGTCATCTTCAATAAAGAAGGAGAAAATATAGAAGAAAATATGAGGTCCTGATCATTTCACTTGAGACAAAAGTTTGACCTTTCTACTTTATATTTGAACAGTACAAGGTTTTGTAAAACTGCAGGTGCATTTACATTCGTTTCACAGTTGCAATGTTAATCTACATAATATCACAGTGCAATAGTATCCACTAAAAGTCTTACTGACAACATATAGTCAAGCAGAAAAGTCAATTTTATTTGATACATTTATATTGCAATTAGTATAAAAATAGTTTCTAAAACTTGTGCTTTAAGTAGTATCTGAAATACTAGATTCCCCATCAGCTTTGATTTAATTGCCAAAATAATATTGGTCGTTCCTCCTTTTCTTCACAGCAAGGAATCTCAGCCTATCTGTCTTGTGCCAGGCAGGCACAAGTTGTGGCTGACTACTAACAAAAAGCCTGAGTTAATTACTGTGAATAGTTTAACAAATTACCATTAAAACTTGAGTCGGTTCCATATAAATGCTTATCCGGCCCTCAAACAGCAGTTCACCAACTCCAGATTCCAGCAATGGGATTTAATCTCTAGTTCTAGCAATGGCTGATTTAATTTCTTCTTGGCAGAGCTGTATGAAATTGTATCACCGCTACACAAAGTACCCTGGCATTTCCCCAGGAGCATTTTGCACTTCAGCGTCAGTGTAGGAAGTGTTTCAGTAAGTCACTTTAGCCAATTACTTTGCTACTGAAATAGTACATCGTTTAATGACGTTTTGCCAATTGGGTAGCCATTCCAATAAAATAAGGAAACAAGGCCTGGAACTCTGTGTCCATTACATATTAAACAAAGTGAAAAATTCTTAGGTCGTACTGTAAGGCTGGTTCAAGTTTCGCTTGCTGTCAAGTTATGTATGTTTGTAAAACATATATTAAAAAGAGTTGCTTTTGTGACAGGTTATTATAAAAGCAATGCTTCCTTTAAAGTACTGGTGCCTCTGCATGATCTTTCTCCTTGTGTGCATAAACTAGTATTTAGCAGTGGCTGATAAAATGCTGTGGTTATTGTGCTTTATTGTATAATCTGTAATTAACAGTATTGCTGAACAACTGTTTGTGCTGGTACATCTTGTTATTTTCTTGCTTTTAACACTGGTTTCTGGGACTCAAATTTTATTTGAACATGTTAGAATCTTTCGGTGGCTTCATCTAGAAAGGAGGGGGGGGGAATTATGGCCCCTTTATGACTTGTGGACTTCAACTCCCAGAATTCAGGGAGTTGAAGTCCACAGGTCATAAAAGGGCCATAGTTCCCCACCCCTGATCTAGAAATTGAAAGAATGTCATAGATGCTCCTAAAGAATGGTCTCCAAAGTGGATATGACCAGTCACCAGTAAATTATAATGTTTGCAGAAGTGCAATAAAATTTATTCTGCTACTGGGAATAATTCTTACAACAGGAGAACTGTTTGTATAAATACTTGAACAAAGAAAATGAATGAGATAAGTAGCCAGAAAGACACATACATACATGAAATCCCATTATATGCTAAATTAATATCTTGGGGCATTAGATTGATAGGACATTAAAAAATAGGAAGAAAAATAGGGAAACAATGGAGAGAAGGAAAAAGAGGAGGATCAAATGAGGGAATTGGAATTTTAAATGGAAAGGCTAGAAAAAGAAAGAAGAAAACATGGTTGGTAGAAGGAGGGCTGAAAACCATTAACAGGGAAAATCTTCACAGCTTTTACTTCTGATAAATACCCTTCTGATTTAATCTTTTCAAGTGCAGCAATTCTATAAAGAAGCTCACAATGTGCTCCAAACATATTAAATGGCACAACAATGTTGGGAACTCCCATTCTAATAAAAAAAATAAAATAAGGAATTTAAAAGTAGAAGTCAATTTCTTCCCATATGCTCAATTTTCCAATGAGAACTTTTCACAATCTGATTACAAAATCTAAGCAGCAGTAAAGAACTCTGACACACATTTTGAGAATTTTGTTTAGAACTTTTATACACTATATTTTAAGGAAAACTCAATTCCTGTTGTTTTCTTTCTGTCTTTTTGAGAAACATCTCTGTGGTTAGTGTAGCCTACAGCCTTAGAATTTCTCCAGCCCAAATGATTCCGCTCAACTTTTTCAGCTCAACCAGAACAGTTAAGTGCTGCCATCTAGCTGAGCCTCACTAGGTCATTTTTAAACAGCAAAACATAAACCGCAAATCAAAAGATAAAGTTGAAATGACAACTGAGTATTCCTCTTATCCAGATATGATTACTTTTGATAACTGAGTGCATATCAATCCTATATATAGGATTTTTTTTTAGTGTTGATTCCTTGCAGATAAAGATATTCTCTCTAGAATCCCCCCAAGACAAGGTTTGAACATATAGTGGAAAAGGCATTCAAATATACATTTTTATTTGCACAACTGGTTTAAATTACCCAAAACAGCCTCCATCCTGATATAGCACATAATAGTAGTTATAAGGCCAAAATCCAAGCCTGATTTATAATAATAATAAAAAAGAATAACATTTCTAGTTTAAATATGCAAAGGCTGGATAATACGGTGTTATAGTTATTGTGCTAACATTATTTTCCTAAACATTAAAAATGTCCAGTTATTTCTTATAATTTAATATATAATGAATTATTCATATTTTTATATATTTACATAATGCAAATGCACCATCAGCTTTTAAGATAATAAACAAGGATAATTAAAAGCTGTGAAGCTTAATCTTCAAACCTTGACAATTAAAAAACGGTTCAGTACTTACCATAATGTGATTGAAATGCCTGTGGTTTTACGACCTGATTACAGTGGTTACACATCACCAAATAGAAATCATCATGAGCTGGGCAAAGACCAAATATTGGCATATCTAAAATAAAAAGGACAAAAATATATCTCACTGCTAATCAGAATCAACATACAATTTATGTAAAAGTAATATTTGATGTTATCATAATTGAAACCCTGATATCGTATTTCAAAGGAACCGGGGGGGGGGGGGAAGGCCCAAAGGGAGAAAATGAGCATGTAGTTATTCAACTATTTATATTTATAAAAGCATTTCTAAGTCATCTGGCTCCTCAGAAAAACTCCCTGTGATTTCCAATTTAAGACACAATAATTTAACAAGATAAGATACTGTATACAGGAGAGTTAAGAATAGGGAAAAATATTTAAAAACCAAGACTGGAGATAAAATGTTCAAAATATTTTGAAAATTATTCAGCAGAACCACACGGACAAAACACATTAATCGATTTCCTAGAACTAAACATGAATATGCCAAATTAAGATATTTACTATAACATAGTTTTTTCTCCCAGTTGGATCCAGAAAGTTTCTATCCTAAGTCTCTTTACTCCCGTATTCTGAATGGTGAGAAATATAGAATGACCTCCAAAGAAGATTATCAGCCAAATGAGGTTCATATAAGACTTTCTCATATTTTTACCAAATGTATTATGTTTTCTTCTTCACCATAAATATTTATTATTACTTTGCCATAATTCACATATAACTGAACAAGGAACAAATTTATACTATGTTAAACCAAACACTGTTAAGCCTGGGCAGAGTAATTAATAATTAGTACAAAAATAACATACTGAAGCTATACTGAAGGTTGACCAGTTAGTTTGTGATTTAGCTTGCAGATATGTAAAAAATTAATTAGGATATTTATTAAAATTATATGCTGCCCACTTCACTATCCATTTATGAATCTATAAAACACCTGTTCGTAACAATGGATATTCTGGGCTTGCTTCCTAGCACAAGCAGAAGAATTAGCTTTTAGTTTGATTGAACAGCATATTATAACTAAACCATCTAATGTCCCAGAAGTATATTTCTTGTTAGAGAAAGCGAGAGAAAATGAATAAGAAAATGCATGTAAACAAAAAAAAAAAAAATTCCATACTTCATTAACATCCTATTTAGCATTTTTATTATTATTATTATTATTATTATTATTATTATTATTATTATTATTATTATTAAATACTATTTAGTGTTTTAAGAGATTTTCTTATTTGTCATATGACTAAAGTAAATATGCTATCTAAAATCTTTGGGATAGAGATTCCAAGCTACATTTTACAAAAGGGGTTCTCATGAGACCCTTTGAGAGTTTAGCAAAACTCAGGGACCTCTTTATTTATTTATTTATTTATTTATTTAATTTGTATCCCGCCCTTCTCCTTACGGACTCAGGGCGGCTGACAGCCTTATAAAACAGATACAACAATAAAAATACCCAATTTAAAACCTAATTCTCAGAAAAATGTAACTATACTTATAAAATACATACTATATATATTTAATGGGTAATATTACAAAGGAAACCAATTATGCTCAAATAATTACCACAATATTTGGAAATTACAAATATGTAATACAGTAATAAATATGCTTTATTAATTCAATAATTCATTAACGAGATAAGGTTAGATGTCTATGAACTGTCATCTATCTGCTGACACACACTCCCCCCCCCCGAGTTCTATGGACCCAGGTTAAGATCCCCTACCTACAAAGCTTAGAACTAATACATATTAAATATTGCTAACAAGTTGTTATAGCTTCGGCCTCAGTTAGTATTTGGATGGAGGCCTGCCTCGGAAGCTACAATTGGAGGCTAGACTGGGAAGTCAATTAAAAAAAAATCTTGGAAGAATGCAATGACAAGCTATTTTTGTTACTAAATTTTGTAGCCAAGAAAAATACCTAGATGCAGTCAGCAGCAGATAAGTTCAACCTGAGAGTATCTTTATATATGTTGTGGTTCAGCAAAGAGTCAAATATTTGGAACATCGTTGCATGTTACTATATAGAAGAAGCAAGCAGTTATACAGGAATATAATCCTAACTGGCAGACTGTAAAACCAAAGTATCTCTTGAGGTTTTTCAAAACCTCTGAATCTTAAATCTCACACATAGAATAAAATGTAGGGGCTTTTCCCTACTAGACCCTATAGCATAATTCATTATACTCTCTACAAATATTCTAAAATAATATAATTTTATATTTTTGCCAAAAGTTCAATGTTAGCAAGTATTGGAATACACCGAGCACAGATTTCCTGTTACCAATGTAGTAGAACATCTTCTGAAATATGTGTGTGTGTGTGTGTGTAGATAGATAGATAGATAGATAGATAGATAGATAGATAGATAGATAGATAGATAGATAGATAGATAGATAGAAATATTCCATGTGAATACATAATGTCAAACTAGATAATCAGAAAGAGGAAACAGTATCTCTTGGCATCTAAAGTACTGAGATAATAATAATAATTACTAAAATATTTTTAATAGTTAAGTTCTATTAGTATTATTGTTTAATTTATACCTCAACTTTATAGCCAGAGACACTCAAGATGGCTTGTCAGTAATTTATAGTAGATAATTTATAGTAGACACCTGGCTCATTTTCAAAACAGCCAGGTACTGAAGAAATTCAATGAGACTTATCTCTTAGATATTGCAATCTTATGCCTGTAGACAATCACATTCTAAGACCTGGTTCAGATGCAATAAAACTATGTTATCCTGATATGTAAACAAATGCCCACTTCTGAGTTTCAAACACACACCCACACACAGACACACACACACGTTCTTTGCCCAAAAGCTTTGAGGATTATTTGAACATTAATTAATAAACAAGTCAGTATCTGAAAATAACATTTAGTGCTGGTTTGTTCCAAAACTAAATAAATTATAATTTGGAATTTACAGTTCTGTAAATTTCAGTTTACTTTAATTTATGAATTTGGAAGTGAATACAGTACTTTGAATTTCTTAACCAGCGCATTAAAGGAGACATGAGATGGAGGCACTTGGGAGAGCTCATTTATGTAGTTGCAGTCTACCATATTTATTAATTAAATTTGCCATCCATCTCACTATCCATATCTATTCCAAATTTGCATGCTTCGGATATAACTGCACTGGCATTATCATGCTGATCAATTTTTTTATTATGTAATGAACACACTATATTAGTTAAAATAGTTTAAAAATCGTTCACAATTAAGAGCTACATAATTTCAATTCTTTACTCAACAAAACAGCCCACATAACATTCATAGTTTTGTAACTAATTTAGCATGGGCATAGCATAGAATCTAACATCACTGTGGGTGAGACAAAAGCAAACAGAACACAGAGGTGTGTCAGGAAAGATGTACTTTACTTATTTGTTTAGCAGGTATTTTCTTACTCAGCTGTAATTATAACAATAATGAATACAGTACATTCCATTAAATTTAGTTCAGATTACAACCAGGAATGTATGAAATTCTTCATGCTAGAAAAAAAAGCACTTCAAGTTTCAAACATTTCCCACATGGCTAGGGATTATCATTTATGTTTGTTTCACAAACATGATAAAGTGAATGAGCTACTAAACGCTTGGTTATTTTAAGAAATCTAGGGACGCTGGTAAAATATTTTGGAACAGTTTATTTGGTTGGTAAGGAAAATAAAATACTGCATGTCTTCATACTTCCTTAGAATTTTAACTTTAATTCTTCCACTATGATTGACAATTTACTGAAGGAAATTCTTCAATATGTATTTATTTTGATATGCCAACCTAGATATTTATACTAACACTTTTTGTTCTCGGGATCATTTTTTACTTTGATGACACATGTAATCAAAGGAAATTGAATGAATGAAAACCACATTTCTTTCTGCATCTTCTACATCCGTTGTGGAAGTCTCAGAAGAGATTACTGAGTTTGCTGTAAGAAGTAATATGTTTTACAATGTTAATAAAGTCTGCTAAAACTAAATTTACCGAGAATGCATAGCCCCAACCCTGGAAACTGCAACTGGTACAAAATGCCCACGTTAACTAGGACAATCCAATGTTGTCATATAATATCATTATTCGTTGTTGTATGTTTCCTGGTACAATTCAAGATCCTGATGATCCTTCATGGCTTGGAGCTTGATTATCTTCATGACTGCTTACTCCAAAACATAAAAGAGAGTAAGACAAGAACCAATGGATGGAAGCTGTTCAGTGAGAAATCCAAACTTGAATTAAAGAAGAATTTCCTGACTATCAGAGCTATTAAGCAATGGAACAGCCTACCTCCTAAAGTTATGGGTGTTCTATCGCTGTATATGTTCAAGAGAAGACTGGGTAGCCGTTTGTCCAGAATGGTGTAAGGACTCCTTCACTGGGAATGAGATAGGACTAGAAGACCTCCAAGATCTCTCCCAACCCTAAGATTTTGCCAAAAGTGTTTACATTACTTCCTATTCTATAATTCTGGGTAATTTATAAACCTATTTTACTAATGTGCACCGAATCCAAAACCTTGCTGACAAGCAGAGCAACTGAGAAATCACTGAACTTTTGTTTGGCCCTCTGGACATATGCTAACAGAGTCTGCAGGACCACTTATTTGAAGAAAAGGACCACAGTTCAATATAGAATTAGATGCAATTAAAATTAGGCATTAGTACCTTCCTGGCACAAGATTGGTAATTAGGACTGGAGAAAAGGAATAACTTTCCAATATAGAGAAAGTAAGTGATCATATTTGTTGGCAGCCACAGGCATTTATAAGTGTAAAATAACAAGATAAAAACTTGATTTTCACCTCACAACTGCTTTTATCAGCTTAATTCTCCCCACCCTCATAGATATTGCCCATTTCAACTGAATTGCAAAGAACAGCAACACCATTCTTTCTTTTTGCTGATAAGGATATAATCTGGATCCTACTAGTTTTTCTTGGAAAGGCATAGGCAACTGATAATTGGAAGGAACAACAAGAAACATGTGAGAGTCTAAGAATTTCAGCTGGTTATTATAAGAAAATGGGAACATTAGAAACAATTGCCTTA